GGCCCTCCCGAGGGAAGTGGAGACCCACCTCCCCCTGCAGAAGTCGTCGGGTGGTGGCGTGGGGCTCGCATGTGTCCTCCTATCCCATCCGCCCCCGCTAACGCTGCCCCTGACCCGCCTCGCTAGCGACGCACACATCCGTATCCGCGCCCTGGCGGTCTGCACTCCGGGGCGCGATCCCGCGGATACGATGCGCGGTTGCACGGACGCGATCCGAGAAGGGGCCTCCGCGAGAAAACGCCTCCTTCCCTCAAACATCGTGGGGAGGTGGGGTAGGGTTCGGTCGGGCCTGTGCCTCTACAGGAGGAGTATTCAAACATTTTTTTACGCGTATATATATATATATAATTGCCAAACAAACGCCTGGGGACTAGTTTTTGATTATATGTTTTGAATATGTTTTGGGATATGTCTATTGTTTCCTCGAACAACCGCCTGTAGGGGGACATGCCCGACCTTTCGCGCGTGGCCTCCTATAGGAGAGAGGCTCGGTGTGTTCAGAAGTGTTCGTCGGTGCTCGCTGGCCTTCGGGCGCCCCGGGTGTCTTCTTCTCCCGCGACCGCGCCTCGAGGGCGTTCTTCCGGGGGGGTGCCCGGGGGCGCCCCGAGCGACCGCCGTAGCGCCACGCTTCGACCAGACGTAACAGTGACCTTTCGCTGGAGTGAAAGGCGAATTCTCCTCCTCCTCCCAGTGAAACCCCCTCCTCCTCCTCCTCCTCCTCCTCCTCCTCCTCCTCCTCCTCCTCCTCCTCCTCCTCCTCCTCCCGCCTCCTCCTCCTCCTCCTCCTCCTCCTCTCTCCCTCTCCTCCCCCCTCCTCCTCCAGCTGATGGTGGTAGTGGGAAACAAGGCCACCCCGACCAGCTGCTCCGCGCCGAACGCCCGGGTCGTGGCCGCGAGGGGGGGGCGGACAGTGGGGCCCCCCGATCGCCGAACGCGATGCGGTTTTTCGCGTCTTGCGCACCCGTGTTTGGTCCCCCCCGCGGCCCCCCAAAAAGCCGCGCACCAAAGGTCACGCTTGCCCAGGGCCACTCCTGCGTGTAGCGGGACGCTGGGCAACGAAAGCCACGGGGCAGCGCTGGGAGGGGATAGGTTCAGGAGGGGGTGCCTTCCTCAACCTCCTCCTACTCCTCTTCCTCGTCCTCCTCCTCCGCCTCCTCCTCCTCCTCCTCCTCCTCCTCCTCCTCCTCCTCCTCCTCCTCCTCCTCCCCCTCCTCCCCCCTCCCCTCTCCCCCCTCCCCCCTCCCCCTCTCTCTCTTCCCCTGCCTTTTGCCCTGTTCCCTCCCTGTTCCATCCTCCCCCTCTCCCCACTCCTCTGCGATCCCCGTCCCCTTTTACACTCACACGATAGGAGTCATTACGATTCTCCTCTCTCGACCCCCAGTCGCCCGTCGATCGCCTGGGGGACAGGGGCCTGACAGTCCGCAGCGCCTCGGAATCTGCGGTGCGGCCATCCGGGGCCCGTCGCCGACGCACCGACGACGCATCGCCGATGCCAGGTCGATGTGTTTCTCTCCCGGAGCCAAAGCTCCGTGTTGTTTCCCCTCAGATCACAGGAGGGAAGGGAGGAGGAGGAGGAGGAGGAGGAGGAGGAGGAGGAGGGGGAGGGGGAGGAGGAGGAGGAGGAGGAGGAGGAGGAGGAGGAGGAGGAGGAGGAGGGTCGAAGTTGTTCCCCGCCGAAACCCACACACAAAGTCCTCGCGGATGGGGGTCCGCTCATGCATCGGTGACTGGGCTCGATTCGGAGCCCGCTTTTCACCCACCGACGTCGCCGATACATCGGCGATGCGGCGCGATCTTCTGGCCTCACCTACTCCGACCCCGTTTGGGCGGCCTCCAAGGGGGGACGGGGAGGGAGGGAGGGATGCAGGGCCGATCGTCGGTGGTCGAGGATCACGGCTATCGGGCATCTTCGGTTTTGTGTATTCCCAAGGGTTTACGAAGAGGGAGGAGGGAAAAGGAAGAGGAGGGAGAGGACAAGCTAGGTGCTCTCGCGCCGTATTCACAACACGCAGAGAGGGCCAGAGATTTTCGGGACGAAGTCAGGGGGAGAGGAGAGTAGTATTCATGTGGGCCAGCGCGGATATTATATTTTTGCTTTTAACAATCCATACAGTGCAAGAGATCTGGAACAGTCAGGTTTTGCGATATGTGTGGTTCACTCGATGCGGTGCATTCTATGTTGTGGTGCGAACTATGCGTTGCAATCAACGTAGAGCAATATTTAGTGTGCAACCGATGTGGTGCAATATATGTGTTGCAATCTTCGGGTTGACCCAACAGGGGGTCCAGCGACAAGGGGGTGGTGCAATAGATTCATTGGCTTACGCCACACCGCCGACCCGTTGGGGCGGCAGCAATCGTCCCCCGCGTGGCCTGTCCGGACAGCCTGTGAGGCCCCTCTAGACACGTTTTGGAGCACTCTCAGGATCGTCCTGCCGTTCCCCCGGGCCGTTGCTATGGTTTCTGGGGCCTTCGTGGGGCGCCCGGAGGCCGTCATGGAGTTTTCTTGGGAGCCTCTTCGGGTGACGGGGGTCGATCGTGGAGGTTTACTGGGCCGTTGTGGGCCTCGTGAGAGCCCAAGAAGCGAATATGCTGAAAATGCACGTTTTCCGTTGGAAATGGAACGGTTGGTGCTTCTGGAGGCCTGCTTGGAGCGCCTCGTGGTCGCGTATGCAAGCGTCTTGGACGCCCATGGGGCTGTCTGGAGGCAGTCTTGGGCGGTTTGGACCGAATCGTCCCCCGCGTGGGCCGTCCGGACAGCCTTTGGGGGTTCTCTTGGCCCGTTTTGGAGCCCTCTTGGGACCGTCCTGCGGCTTTCCTGGGCCTTTCTATGGTTTCTTGAGCCTTCTTGGATCGCCCGGAAGCCGTCTTGGAGCCTTCTTGGGAGCCTCTTTTGGTGACAGGGGTCGATTTTGGAGGTTTATTGGGCATGTGGGCCTCGTGAAAGCACTCTGGGGACCGTCCTGCGGCTTTCTTGAGCCGTTGCTGTGGTTTGGGGGGCCTTCGTGGATCGCTCAGACGCGTCTTGGAGCCTTTTTGGGAGCCTCTTCGACTGGCGAGGGTAGATTTTGGAGGCTTCTTGGGCCGTTTTGCGCCGCGCGGGAGCCGAATGGGCGAATGCGGTGAAAATGCACGTTTCCCTTAAGAAATGGGACGATGTTTGCTTCTGGAGGGCCTCTTTGGGGCGCCTCGCAATATTGTTTCAAACGTCTTGGGGACTTATGGAGCCGTGTGGAGGCAATCTTCGGCGTTTTGGGGCGATCTTTCGTCGATCCGTAGCTCTCTTGGACCGTTCCAGGAACCTTTGGAACCTTTTTGGTCCGTTTCGGGGCCTTCTGAGGCTCCAAGTGTGCGGATGATGGATTTGCCTCCCCCTCCCCCCCCTCCAAACTGGCCGGACCAGGCCCCCGGGGGAGGGGTTTGGGAAGGGGGAAGCATCTCACACGCCGTGACCCCAAGGGGTCAGCGGATTTGGTGCGATAGGTTAGTGGGGTTACAATACAGTTGGGGCGTGCAATACTTTCCAGGGCGCACATGTATTGCTGGATTTTCGCGTGCAATGAATTACTTGCAATACAATGCAATACAACTCTCCAGCGCAATCCTTCCGTTTGCAATACAATTGCCCCAAATCTATATCAACATCCCTTCTCAGCTGGACCCCGCTTTGGGTCATCCAATAATAATCTACCTCTACGACCACCATCGGGGTGATAAGGAGGTTTGAGGGGGTGGGAGGAACCAACGTATCACTCAATCGATTTCAATCGATTTCATTATAGATCTCATAATCGATGCCACAAGCCTCTCCCCCTGTCGATCTGACTATCGATCCCACTATCGATTCCACAATCGTTGCCACCATCGATCTCACAATCGATCGCACTATCTCTCTCACTACCGATCTCACTATCGATCTCACTATCCGTCCTACTATCGATCTCACACTCAATCTGATTACGGCTCCCAATATCGATCGCACGATTGATCTGATTATCCATCTCACTATCTCTTCCCTGATCACTTCACGTTCGATCCCACAATCGATCGCACTATCGATCTCACAATCGATCGCACTATCCCTCTCACGATCGCACTCACAGTCGATTTCATGTTCGATCTCAGTATCGATATCACTATCAATATCACAATCGATCCCACTACGCGACATCGACGGGACACCGACGGGTCATCATTATCGACTACACTATCTAACTCATTCGATTGATCTCACTACCGATGCTCCTATCGGACTCACTCGATCGATCTCACGCGTTCGATTTCACTTTCGATCTCACACTTTCGATCTCACGATCGGTCTCGATATCGATATCACACGTTTTACAAATGATCGGTCTGACGATCGATCTCACACTTTCGACCTCACGACCGGTCTCACTGTCGACCTCACTGAACGATCGATCTACTATCGCGCTCACGATCGATCCCACGGGCGATCTTACTATCGATATCGCAGACGATATCGATATCGATCTCACTATCGATACCGCTATCGACCTCACAATTGATCTCATTGTCGATGCCACTATCGATCTCACTCTCGAGTTTATTTTCGATCTCGGATGCGATCTCACAAACGTCTCACCCCATCGATCTTACGCTCGATCCCACCATCGATCCCGCAATCGACTTCGGCTTCGGCGCGGGAGCGACGCCCGCGCCGGCGTGCAGGGTTGAGCAGCCTCTGGCCCTCCAGGGGCCCGCCCCGGGCTCCCAGGGCCTACAGAGAGTGGTCCACGGCGCTCGATCCACGCTGTCACAGATTATGGGGGCGGCAATCTCTGGGTCAGGAGGGGAAAAACACACACACACACAGACACAATTCATCGTCGACTCCCAGGAAAAGATTGGAAAATATGGGCAGTGGGGGGGGAAGAGGAACATCCAGAAAATACGGGAAAATATGGGGAATCCTTTTATTTGTGTGTATTTATTTGTGTGTCCCGAGGCCCCTTCACTGGGGGCCCCTCCCAGAAGAGATCGTTGAAGCTTGAACGGTTGGCGAGGTGGTGGAAGCCCAGCCCCACACCGTCGCGTGGGGCTCTTGCCGTAGTCGTGCAGTTTTCGCGGTGTGCCAAGACAGACCGATCGTTTTTTGCCGCCTCGCAGCTCTGGCACGAAAAGCGGCGCGCCTGGTCCCGGCAGACGGAGGAAGAAGGATGCGCGAGGGAGGGCTCGGGAGGGCAGCGCGGGCGCGCGCAGGGGCAACGCCCAGGCTGATGGGCGCACGCCATGTGGACCACGGTTGATCCCCGCAGGTGCAAAGCACAGAGGGTGCGCCCGACCGCGTTTGATCAGTGGCGAACGGCCACGTGCAGATCTGCGAGAGCGGTTCGCACCTAGCACGACGGGCTTAGAGTTCAAGCAGCTTTGCTGTGTGAGGCAGGTTCGTGTGTTGGGAGTTGGGCCAACACATCCTACCAGTTGGCCGGAAGAGTGTTCGTGAGTTGGATGACTGCACGCCGAGGCGCCGAAGTGCCTCACGTTCAGTGAACCGCAGTGCGCACTCCTGGATGATACATTTTTCCATGCAAGCCAGCTCATCACTTGTTTATCACATCCATCTTCGGTCGTCGTTCGAGCGCGCCAGGTGCAAGACCATTCGGCCCCAAGGTGGCGCTCGTGTGCGATGAAGTGCCGTTCCTCTCACCCTTCGCCTCTTCCCAGTCCTCCCCGCCGCACTGGTCCCTACACCTCACCCCTCTCTCGCGTGACGCGGGTGACGAATTATACCTGTCCATCTCTGCAGCCATTTGGCTTTGCGGCACTCCACTCAGCAGCCCGTCAGGCTTCTGGGACGACCGGGCAGCATGATTGAGGGGGGCTGTTGGAGGTGCAGATCGGAGGGAGGAGAAGCGACACCAACACCACCAGGGGACCCACCTTCAGCGAGGAGGTCCACGATGCCTCCCCGAGCTGGCGGTTAGGGATGTCTCGAACGAGAGGGGGGGACCACACCACCAGGGAGACCCCCTTGCCTCCTCGCATCTCCCCGCCCTGGTGGTGCTGGTGTCGTCTTTCCTTGTTGCTGTGCAGGAAGTGGGATGGAGTGGCTGGACGAGGAGGGGAGGAGGCGGAGCAGGACCAGGAGTTTCGGGAGGAGGCGCCATGGCCGAGGGAGCAGCACACGGCGGTGCGACCGAGGAATGGTTCCTGCTCCGCCTCCCTCTCCAGGGTCACCCGCGGGGGTGCGCAAGTGATCGTGGGTCGCGCGTCCCGGCTTGAGCGGGTCCTGGGCCATCTCCGGCTAGCTGCGCGGCAGCGCGAGGACGAATTTCCGGTAGTGGTCCGTGCAGCGCGAAGCGCGAGATCTGGTTTGCACTCCTCCTCCTCGCCCACTCCTTGCAGTTGGTCCAAGACGCGCCCCCCTCCCCCCGCCTCGGTGGCTGCACGCCAAGGGCACGCGAGTATTCCCACCCCTCCACACCTCGCAGCAAAGAGTGTCGAGCCTGCACGTGGCTCCAGCCACGCGGGCGCCACTCCATCCTCCAGCTCGTCTTCCCTCACCCTGGCACAGTGCACGTGAGCAGCGCAAGGGTCGGGAGCGGAAAAGAGGGGGGTGATGACTAGGGGGGGGGTGGATATCATGCATGATATTTCCCCAGATTTCATGGCGCCTCTTCTTATTTCATTACGTCCCTGGCCCCCCCCGCTGGGCCGCGCACATGCCGACGGTCATGATTTGCACCCCCCCCCTCTGGACACCCCCCTCTTGGCCGCTCCTGAAAGGGAGGGAGGTCGATGGAGCAGACGCTGGCACGGAAAGTTTCCACGTGAGGTCGCGCGTCGGCGCTCTCTTTCAAACGTGGCAAGGCTCGTTAGCGGCTTGCGTAGGGCACCGCGTAACGTTGCCAAGTGTTCGCGCGTGAGACTCTTTTCTGTCTGCCGCGCCTGTCGCACCTCTCATCACAATGTGTCCACTGCAGGCGAGAGAACGATTTTGGAACACGTACGCGCCAAGGCAGACGCGGCCCCCTTGACATCCCGTTCCTGGCAAAACGTGCTGCCAGTGTGTAGGGCGTTCGCGGTTCCACCATATTTACGCCAGACAGTCCAGACATCCGTCTGCCCATGTCCGCTCGAACGAATCATGACGGTATGTTGTTAATGTTCTGATTCTGTAGGCATCGTGCGGGCCCCAGGCTCAGGGCTATCAACAACAATTCACGTTGAACATCGAGGTGTCCAGCAGCCGATGAAAGTTGCACCGCCAGATGATTGGCCTATCCGCTGTCCCTGGCAGTCAAGTCCGACGTGCATTTGGCATCTTTCGCCGTTCAGCAGATTGTTTGCAGTTAGGGTGCGGGCGTTGATATTATTCAGATGCCTGCGATATATCGTGAAAGGCAATCAGGAGTGAGTGAACAAACACGCTGCCCACGCGAAAGGGCCGGCGTTGCGCATCTTACAAGATGGCGGTCTGTGGCAAGGCCGAGTGTCGCTAGATGCGCATAAGCCGAACAGACAGTGGCTGTCAATTTCACTGGCCGGACTCGGTGGCCACATGCGAACCTTACCCCACCACCCCACGATTTCTAAGGTGGAGATGGGGTTCACTTAGATTTCGAACGAAGTGAACCCCACCTCCCCCTTAGAAATCGCGGGTTTGTGGGGCAAGGTTCGAAAACCCCCGTCGGTGTCCCGAAGGCCTTCGGGGGACCCAACAGTTATTTGCGCATTGTACTGGACGTTGGTGACAAAAGTTGCGGGGGCAACGACGACGACGGTGGCGGCGGGGCGGCGACGACGGCAGCGGCATTGGCGGCGACGACGACGACGACGAACGACGAGTCTTGCGAACACGACGGACGACGACGACGACGACGGCGACGACGGCGGTTGCGCCGACGACCGCGACCAGCGACGATTTCATCAATGACGCAGATGGACGAACAACGACGGCGCCGGCCGCAGCGACGGGGGTTGCAGGGCCCGGCCGCCGACGTTTGGCCGGGCCATGCTGGGCAGCGCGCCCAGGCGCGCGCACCGCCGCCGATTGTCGCCCTCGTCGCGCGCTGCGGCGTCGTCGTCGTCGTCGTCGTCGTCGTCGTCGTCGTCGTCGTCGCAGCTTGAACATCGGGATGGCCAGATAATTATTCCCCCTGAGTTGGCCTCAAGGTACCGTTTTCGGTTTCTCGGGCCGCCAGAGGACCCGCCCAAGACAGAAAGACATGCCCTCGGGAAGGAGGCGAGGGTCCTTGGGGCCCACGCTTCGGGAACAGGGGCGGCGGGGTGTCTGCGTCGCCGTCGTCGTCGTCGTCGTCGTCGTCGTCGTCGAGGTTGGCGGTTTTTGGGTCAAAGGGGATGGAAGACCGAGGAGGACCGAAGGCGAGAATCGCCCTCGCCGCCCGTTGCGGCGGCGGCTGTGGCGGCATCGTCGTCGCCGTCCGAGGTTCGGGCCTTGCTGACCAGCGCCTCGTTGAGAGCCTTCCAGAGTCGTCCCGATCGGCCGCCGTCGCCGCCGTGGACCTCGGGCGCCGTTGTCGAGCGCCCCCGTTGGCCGCTCGGAGGGTCCTGCGGAGGCCCTGGAGCGCCACAGTTCGTGGAGGGGGCCACTGCGGGGACCAGTACCAGGACTGAACGCGGCATCTTCGCGTCGATCTTGGCCTCCGCTTATCTTGGTCCGTGTCAGTTCGTTGACCATCCTCGCGGATCGGCGACGGCCTGTATGGATCATGACCGAGATCGGCGTCGACAAGATCCGGGACATGTTTGTCATGGTGAGTGTGTTTCTACCCTAGGGCTCAGGGATGATCGCACGGCCCCCAATCGCTCATTCATCGCCGGTAAAGGACTGGTAGTCCACTTCGCCCAAGAACGTGCGGTTTCGCTGTTGGGGCCCTATCGACGATGTATCGGCGATGTATCCCCGCTTCCTCCCGTGGGCTGGTCACCCCTGTCGTCCCCCCTGAGGAATGATGCGGGGGAGGAGGTAGAGGACCGAGGAGCTAGAATCGAAGTTAGAGCGGCGAGTTTGTTATATGTGTCGATGCTCTTGCCAGGCCTACGGAGCCCTCTAGGCTCTAGGGACCTCCGTGACCGCGGCTCCTGTGGAGACCTCCTGATTAATCATATTGTGCGAGTGTTTCGGGCCATCGTCGACGCCATCATTTTGAGCAGTGAGGCCATCTGAGATGGCCCCCGCATTGCCCTCGATACCCCTGACGTGAGGCTGTGTCCCCCTGGAGCACCACACCTGGAGCCACCTCAGGCTGGCCCGATCTGGGGAGCCATTTGAGATGGCTGCAGGCCGCCCGCGAGAGCCCCAAAGGCTCCGTGGGGTTACCACTGGCGATCCGGGGCCGTGGAGCCCTTCGCCGCCTCCGCTCCCGCGCGTCTCCGGGGCCGCCGCCGCACCTGCACCGCCGCGCGCCCCCCCAAACCGCACAGCGGGGACCCATGCCAAGAGACGCCCAGCTTGCCTCCAGCCTGCCCTGGGCTCCTTTGGACTCCACGGCCCTGCCATGGAAGGCGTGACGTTCCCACACCAAAAAATCCATGGCCGTCCTGGGGCCTCAGCGTTGGGCTTCTCGTGGAGGGCCTCTTGTGGTCGGGCCTCCACCCGTGCTGCTCCGCGAGCGGGCCTGCGCCCTCCCCCCGTCCTCTCCGGGCTCGCTGCCGCGCTCGCTGCTGCCAGTGCGCCGTGGGAGCCAGGTGGGGGCCAGCCGAGGTGACCCAGCACCGGTTCCAGCTTCCCGGGGTGGGGGTCGGGGCCTAAGAGACGGGGGTCAGAGCAAACGGGGGTCAGCCAGGGCACCAGATCCTGCAGGATCCTGCGAAGACCCCCTCTGGCTGACCCGGGTTAGCGAGCCGCTCGTGTCCGCGAGGCGGCCGCGCATATTGGCTGACCTGGGTTGGCGAAGACTTGCGTTGCAGTTTTTTTTCCTGCACTGCAGTTTTTGGTTTCTTGCTGACCCGGGTTTGAATTGACCCGGGTCAGAAGATCCCCGATGGGGTGGCCCCCTCGTCGCCACGGCGGTCAGTCTTCGACCCCCATGAGAGTCCCAGGGACCTCAGACTTGCGAGCGGATTTCTTCCCCCCCCCCCTCTCCCCTCTGTGACAGAGGGTTCGAGGCTTATCCGGCCAGGAGGCTGAGGCGGCCAAGCCCCGGTTCCAGCAGAGAATTCCAGCAGAGAAAGGGTGTTCGGGGC